GGCTTTGAGGCCCCTTCCAACCCAAACCTTCTGTGATTGCATGAAAACCCTGGAAACAACGACAGATCCTCACCGACACTGCGATGTCGCCCCGCATCCCCGCCGAGCTCCGCTCAGCGCGGCCCCGGGATGGGGGCCCCGCTCCCGCCCCGCTCCCTGAGGGCTCCTTGACCCACCTGCGCAGGGCGGCGGGACCGCGCCCAGGAGCAGGAACAGCACGGCCGCCAGCCAGAGCCCGCCCGGCACCGACAGCTGCCGCCGCTCTGCCATCCATCCACCCGTCCGCTCCTGCGGCTCCTCCGTCCCTTCCTCCCCGGGCTCCGCCGCCGCTCCATTCCCGCGCTCCGCCATCCAGGGAAGCGCTGCCGGAAGCKGCGGCGGCGGCGCCTGCGCGGGAGCGGCCCCGGCGCTCTGAGGGCGGTGAGGGGAGAGCAGCCTGAGGATGTTGTGAGGGTGTTCTGAGGGCGGTCACGGTGCCCTGAGGGGAGGGCGGTGTGAGCGTGCTCTGAGGGCGGTGAGAGGCAGCCTGACGGCGTTCTGAGGGCGGTCACGGCGCTATCAGGGCGGTGTGCGCGGAGAGCAGCCTGAGGGTGTTCTGAGGGTGTTCTGGGGGCGGTCACGGTGCGGTGAGGGGAGGGCGGTGTGAGCGTGCTCTGAGGGCGTTCTGAGGGCGGTGACGGCGCTGTCAGGGCGGTGTGCGCGGAGAGCAGCCTGAGGGTGTTTGAGGGCGGTCACGGCGCCGTGTGGGGAGGGCAGTGATGATGCCCGAAAAGGCCTGGAAATAAAACTCCATAGACCGGTGTCTATAGAGCAGGTATTTGTTTATTGAAGCGCTGGACGTGAGGAGGATTTCTCCTAACCCACCCGCCTTTGCCTCAAATTAGCATATATTTATACAGTAAGCATGGTGTAACATTACCATTGTCACTTCCCCCCGGACAATGCCCACCGTACGCCCACCACTATGAATGGGCGCGGAAATACATGATATCATAGTTTTAGAAGTACTCGTGTCATCCTCAATTGGGTGGTCGTGGGAGTCTCCCTCTAAYGAGATACCATCCTCTTCATCATGGTGGACTTYTAACCTTTGTCTTCAGGGCATGCAAGGTTGTGATGTTCCTAGTTTTTTTCTAGTACTCCAAGTCTAATTTCCAATTATTTTGCTGATTGTCCCGTGCTTCTGCCAAATTCTTATTAGTGCTCTCTACTGTTCCTTGTTATAGCATCTACTTGTCTACTTTCTTCAGAACTTTTCTGATTTAT